GTTATCGGTATAAAACGGGCATTCACATAGTGTTATACGTGTTTAGGTTTTCATAATCATTCCAATGTACAAGAGACCCGTGTCCAGGAATTAAACGCCTTATCAAACTGACAATCCTGGTTTGGGGACGTTTTAGGGATTGGCTGTTTCACTGTTTAATGTGGACAAAGCTCAACCCTCGTCCCCCGTCTAATATCCCCATCCTCATCTGTTGGTGAGTCATGACACCGCTGTGTCCAACACTGGGAAGATCGTAGACTAAAATCTAGTCTCTGAAATGAACATATCGTACATAAAAAAAACAGTTGTTCAGTTATCTTAATAAAAATATAATAATAAGGAGCCCAGTGACTCTCTTCATTTCCTGATACTGCAGTGATCTAGACTTGCCAAACATTATAGACTTGCATGGGCTGTATTTGATATATATTTGTATCAGGGTCTGTAAGACAGACTAGGAAGATCGTGGACAGCCAGGAACGCGGATCAAGAGGGGGTTGGGTGGGGTTTGGATTGCAGGGGGAGGGGGGGCACCCATTTAAAAAAAAGTATTCTTAACACGTAACGTATAAAAAAATAGTAAGTAAATCATGTGGTAACACAAACGACCACTAATTTGAATTCATCTACCATTTTGTTGAGCAGTGTATATGAAATTCAGAACGGTGTGGTGAAAGTGGGGTGGTGAGACCGATGTGGGCGGTGTGGTGAGAGGAGAGCGGTGTGGTGAGACAGGTGTGGTAAGAGAGGTGTGGTGAGAGCTATGTGGTGAGACCGATGTGAGCGGTGTGGTGAGAGGAGAGCGGTGTGGTGAGACAGGTGTGGTGAGAGCTATGTGGTGAGACCGATGTGAGCGGTGTGGTGAGAACGATGTGGGCAGTGTGGTGAGAGCAGTATGGTGAGTCCAGTGTGGTGAGACTGGTGTGGTCAGAGCTGTGTGGTGACACCGGCGTGGGCAGATTGGTGCGGTGAGACCGATGTGAGCGGTATGGTGAGAGTGGTGTGGTGAGAGCGGTGTGGTCAGAATGATGTGGTCAGAGCGGTGTGGTTAGGCCGGTGTGGTGAGACAGATGTGAGCGGTGTGGTCAGAACGGTGTGGTGAGATTGATGAGGGCAGTGTGGTGAGAGCAGTATGGTGAGTCCAGTGTTGTGAGACCGATGGGGGCGGTGTGGTGAGAATGGTGTGGCGAGACAGGTGTGGTGAGAATGGTGTGGCGAGACCGATGTGGGCGGTGTGGTGAGACTGGTGTGGTCAAAGCTGTGTGGTGAGACTGGTGTGGTGAGACCGGTGTGGTCAAAACTGTGCAGTGAGACCGGTGTGGTGAGACTGGTGTGGTCAGAGCTGTGTGGTGAGACCGGTGTAGTCAGATTGGTGCGGTGAGACCAATGTGGTCAGAGCTGTGTGGTGAGACCGGTGTAGTCAGATTGGTGCGGTGAGACCAATGTGGTCAGAGCTGTGTGGTGAGACCGATGTGGTCAGAGCGGTGCGGTGAGACCGATGTGGTCAGAGCTGTGAGGTGAGACTGGTGTGGTCAGATTGGTGCGGTGAGACCGATGTGGTCAGAGCTGTGTGGTGAGACTGGTGTGGTCAGAGTGGTGTGGTCAGAATTGTGTGGTAAGAGTGGTATGGTGAGAGTGGTGGCGTTAGCCTGGTGTGGTGAGACCGATGTGGGCGGTGTGGTGAGAATGGTGTGGTGAGAGCGGTGTGGTGAGAATGGTGTGGCGAGACCGATATAGGCGGTGTGGTGAGAGCGGTGTTGTGAGAATGGTGTGGTAAGAGCGGTGTGGTCAGAATGGTGTGGTGAGAGCGGTGTAGTGAGACGTGTGGTGAGTCCAGTGTGGTGAGACCGACGTGGTGAGACCAGTGTGGTCAGAGCAGTGTGGTCAGAATGGTGTGGTGAGAGCGGTGTGGTGAGACGGATGTGGGTGGTGTGGTGAGACCGATATGGGCGGTGTGGTGAGAGCGGTGTGGTGAGAACGGCGTAGCAAGACCGATGTGAGCGGTGTGGACAGAATGGTGTGGTAAGAGCGGTGTGGTCAGAATGGTGTTGTGAGAGCGGTGTGGTCAGAATGATGTGGTAAGAGCGGTGTGGTGAGACCGATATGGGCGGTGTGGTGAGAGCAGTGTGGTCAGAATGGTGTGGTTAGAAATGTGTAGTGAGACTGATGTGGGCAGTGTGGTCAGAATGGTGTGGTGAGAGCGGTGTGGTCAGAATGGTGTGGTGATAGTGCTGTGGTGAGAGCGGTGTGGTCAGAATGGTGTGGTGAGAGCGGTGTGGCGAGACCAATGTTGGCGGTGTGGTGAGAGCGGTGGGGTCAGAATGGTGTGGTGAGAGCGGTGTGGTGAGAGCGGTGTGGTCAGAATTGTGTGGTGAGAGCGGTGTGGTCAGAATGGTGTGGTGAGACTGGTGTGGTAAGAATGATGTGGTGAGAGCGGTGTGGTGAGACCGATGTGAGCGGTGTGGTGAGAGCAGTGTGGTCAGAATGGTGTGGTGAGAGCGCTGTGGTCAGAATGGTGTGGTGAGAGCGCTGTGGTCAGAATGGTGTGTTGAGAGCGGTGTTGCGAGACCAATGTTGGCGGTGTGGTGAGAGCGGTGGGGTCAGAATGGTGTGGTGAGAGCGGTGTGGTGAGAGCGGTGTGGTCAGAATGGTGTGGTGAGAGCGGTGTGGTCAGAATGGTGTGGTGAGAGTGGTGTGGTCAGAATGGTGTGATGAGAGCGGTGTGGTGAGACCGATGTGGGCGATGTGGTGAGAGCAGTGTGGTCAGAATGGTGTGGTGAGAGCAGTGTGGTCAGAATGGTGTGGTGAAAGCGCTGTGGTCAGAATGGTGTGTTGAGAGCGGTGGGGTCAGAATGGTGTGGTGAATGCAGTGTGGTCAGAATGGTGTGGTGAAAGCGCTGTGGTCAGAATGGTGTGTTGAGAGCGGTGTTGCGAGACCAATGTTGGCGGTGTGGTCAGAATGGTGTGGTGAGAGCGGTGTGGTCAGAATGGTGTGGTGAGAGCAGTGTGGTCAGAATGGTGTGGTGAAAGCGCTGTTGTCAGAATGGTGTGTTGAGAGCGGTGTTGCGAGACCAATGTTGGCGGTGTGGTCAGAATGGTGTGGTGAGAGCGGTGTGGTCAGAATGGTGTGGTGTGAGCGGTGTGGTCAGAATGGTGTGGGGTGTCTGGTGAGAGCGGTGTGGTGAGACCGATGTGGGCGGTGTGGTGAGAATGGTGTGGCGAGACCGATCTGGGCGTTGTGGTGAGAATGGTGTGGTAAGAGAGATGTGGTCAGAGCGGTGTGGTGAGACTGGTGTGATCAGACCAGTCCGGTGCGTCAAGTGCGGTGAGACCGGTGTGGTTAGACTGGTGTGGTCAGAGCTGTGTGGTGAGACTGGTGTGGTCAGAGCAGTGTGGTCAGAATAGTGTGGTGAGAGTGGTGTGGTGAGACCGATGTGGGCGGTGTGGTGAGAGCGGTGTGGTGAGAGTGGTGTGGTGAGAGTGGTATGGTTAGCCCGATGTGGTGAGACCGATGTGGGTGGTGTGGTGAGAATGGTGTGGTGAGAAATGTGTAGTGAGACCGATGTGGGCGGTGTGGTTAGAGTGGTGTGGTAAGAGCGATGTGGTCAGAGTGATGGGGTTAGTCCGGTGTGGTGAGACCGATGTGGGTGGTGTGGTGAGAGTGGTGTGGTGAGAATGGTGTGGAGAGAGCGGTGTGGTCAGAACGGTGTGGTGAGACATGTGTGATGAGTCCAGTGTGGTGAGACTGGTGTAGTCAGAGCTGTGTGGTCAGAATGGTGTGGTGAGACAGGTGTGGTCGGAGCTGTGTGGTGAGACCGGTGTGGTGCGTCCAGCGCGGTGAGACCGGTGTCGTGAGACTGGTGTGGTCAGTGCTGTGCGGTCAGAATGGTGTGGTGAGACAGGTGTGGTCGGAGCTGTGTGGTGAGACCGGTGTGGTGCGTCCAGCGCGGTGAGACCGGTGTCGTGAGACTGGTGTGGTCAGTGCTGTGTGGTGAGACCGTTGTGATAAGAGCTGTGTGGTGAGACCGGTGTGGTCAGAGCAGTGTGGTGAGACTGGTGTGGTGAGACCGGTGTGGTCAGAGCAGTGTCGTAAGACCGGTGTGGTGAGACTGGTGTGGTGAGACCGGTGTGGTGAGACTGGAGTGGTCAGAGCAGTGTTGTGAGACCGGTGTGGTGAGAGCAGTGTGGTGAGACCGGTGTGGTCAGAGCAGTGTCGTGAGACCGGTGTGGTGAGACTTGTGTGGTGAGACCGGTGTGGTGAGACTGGAGTGGTCAGAGCTGTGTGGTGAGACTGATGGGCTCAGAGCTGTGTCGTGAGACCGGTGTGGTGAGACCGGTGTGGTCAGAGCAGTGTGGTGAGACCGGTGTGGTGAGACTGGTGTGGTCAGTGCAGTGTCGTGAGACCGGTGTGGTGAGACTGGTGTGGTGAGACCGGTGTGGTGAGACTGGAGTGGTCAGAGCTGTGTGGTGAGACTGATGGGCTCAGAGCTGTGTGGTGAGACTGGTGTGGTCAGAGCTGTGTCGTGAGACCGGTGTGGTGAGACCGGTGTGGTGAGACTGGTGTGGTGAGACTGGTGTGGTCAGTGCTGTGTGGTCAGTGCTGTGTGGTGAGACCGTTGTGATAAGAGCTGTGTGGTGAGACCCATGTGGTGAGACCGGTGTGGTCAGAGCAGTGTCGTGAGACTGGTGTGGTGAGACTGGTGTGGTGAGACCGGTGTGGTGAGACTGGAGTGGTCAGAGCAGTGTGGTGAGACCGGTGTGGTCAGAGCAGTGTGTTGAGACTGTTTTGGTGAGACTGGAGTGGTCAGAGCTGTGTGGTGAGACTGATGGGCTCAGAGCTGTGTGGTGAGACCGGTGTGGTGAGACCGGTGTGGTCAGAGCAGTGTGGTGAGACCGGTGTGGTCAGTGCAGTGTGGTGAGACCGGTGTGGTGAGACTGGTGTGGTGAGACCGGTGTGGTGAGACTGGAGTGGTCAGAGCTGTGTGGTGAGACTGATGGGCTCAGAGCTGTGTGATGAGACTGGTGTGGTCAGAGCTGTGTCGTGAGACCGGTGTGGTGAGACCGGTGTGGTGAGACTGGTGTGGTGAGACTGGTGTGATCAGTGCTGTGTGGTGAGACCATTGTGATAAGAGCTGTGTGGTGAGACTGATGGGCTCAGAGCTGTGTGGTGAGACTGGTGTGGTCAGAGCTGTGTCGTGAGACCGGTGTGGTGAGACCGGTGTGGTGAGACTGGTGTGGTGAGACTGGTGTGGTGAGACCGGTGTGGTGAGACTGGAGTGGTCAGAGCTGTGTGGTGAGACTGATGGGCTCAGAGCTGTGTCGTGAGACCGGTGTGGTGAGACCGGTGTGGTCAGACAGGTGTGGTCAGGGTAGCTGGCTTTGTTGATTACGGCATCGCACCCGATGGAGCTGACCGTTGCGGCCTGTAAATAGTCGACTCTGGACTAGACAAACCAGTGATTACCATCAGCAACATACACGTACGACGACCCGCAGTCAAACAAAGTCCTGACCACCCGATCCACAAAGTCGCCTTGCACGACAAGTAAACATGTAGTTTGCTGGGTACCTCTAACTGGGAATCGCTCCCCACGAGGCCTGTTAAGTTTTGGCCATCTCACCTCATTCTACACTCAAGTATAAGTCACACGACCAACTCTGAAATATTCCAAATTCTCGAAGCAATCTAAAGTACGCAAAGTACGTTTTTCGAACCCAGACACGATACAATATATCAAACGTGACAGTTTTTTTTCAGAATAGTTAATCATGACGTTGAATTTAATTATTTATGATAGCAAAGGGCACAGCGTTTCCTGTGAAATCCATAGCTGTTCCTTTTACCCCCAGATTGTCAAGTTTCAAGTGACCCCGTACAATGCCTCTCAGTCACGGCTCAGCGACGCCCCGTCCATGTCGACATGCGTACGCCATGAATAAATGTCAGTCACTGACACGCACCTGTTTTACGACATTGTCTGCCGCCAGGTGGCGAGCTGTTCATGAATGACCGCTACTTCATGAATGAACATAATTCGTCGACGTCAGTTTCCCATGCTGCCGCTGAGGAAAGCGGTAGAGACAGGCCCCAGCTCGGTATGTTGCGGAAAGCGTCTATTTCCTCTTGTCCTACTGAAATATCGGGCAAGTGTATCACCCGGACGTTACACGTCCAGTTGGTTTCATTCATGTCGCTCGTGCCTCCTGTTCAGGGTTGAAGGACTGTATTGACATGCATGTTGTGGTTCGGTCTTCTCAAACGTTATAGAGTTGTGGTGGTGAAATATAGATGCAAGTGCTAGTGGTATTGATGCAGCGTTGCAGCAGCAGTAGTGGTAGTAGTAGTAGTAGTAGTAGTTGTAGTAGTAGTAGTTGGTAGAGGTTGTACTTGGCAGCAGTAGTAGTGGACTTAATAGCAGAAATTGTAATATTAATAGTTGTATTAGGTAGTCGTAGTAGCGGCAGCAGCAGCAGTAGCAGCAGTAGTAGTAGTAGTGAATTGTAGTAGTAGTTATATTAGTAGTAGTTCTTGCAAAGTGGTAGTTGTGATAGATTGATATAGGCTGATGTGCTGAGGAGAGGATGAGTATAGGCTGATAGAGCTGACAACGGGATAAGGAATGGAATAGGGGTGGTTGTTTGATTAAATACATGCTTTGGTGTCTGCGAAGATATCCTACATCAGTACCAAGTAAAAGCGAGGATGTGGCCCAGCAGGATGTGGACACACACGGCCCTGGCGTCTAGAGGATGTCTCCTCGCCTTCATGTAACCCACAGCACCCTGACATCTAACGCGACTTCATGTCCTGATCCTTGTCCTATACTATTCACATCGCCCATTCTGTTGTCAAATGTCACCAAACTGCATTGTTCACATGAAACATTATTCTAATTTCCGTTCGATTCCTCAAGTCAAAACTGATGTGAATTCACCGCCACGTTGAGTGTTCTGAGTATAAATAACGAGCTTTAAATAATCAAGCTGTCTGTCAAGAGTCAATTGTTTTTGTTGTTGCAGAGCCTTTTAAACACGCACCTGGCCCTTCTGTAACCACCCCCTCAATTTTGAATTTTACACACACACAAATATATATATATATATATATATATATATATATATATATATATATATATATATATATATATATATATATATATATATATATATATATATATATATATAGTTGAGAAAAGTCGGTAACCTACATAGTGACATCACGAGCACTCTAACTTGTATTTCCGTGTGGCAATCACTCAATACGGCAACTGGGTGACCCTTGTTCGCTAAATAAGACAACCCTTGAGTGGCTAAAGTCAGTGCTGAGATTTTGACACACCCGCTCAAATAGGAAACGATAGAAATAGTGGCCCCGTTTCATTGCTGAGAAAGAGGAAGGACAGTCAGGGGAAGAAACGCGCGTGCATTACACTGCAGAAGCACAGTAAAACAGTAAAACATGTAAGGTAACATCAACGTTCATTTGGGTGTTGCAGCTGTATCACCGGACACCAGAAATGTGCACACACTTTTAGGATCACGTGAGGTACCACTTACAACTGAGTGTGTGTGGCTTCACACCTCTTTCTTACTAAATCTATTTCAGTAGTATCAGTTTGGAGTGTTTTAGAGCCGGAAATGATGACTATCTCAGAGGTACAATTAGGTATCAGCAAATGTCGGTTCATATAGGTTAGACTCAGAGATGAATGACTTTTATATGAATGAACGAATGAATGAATGAAAGAAAGAATGAATGAATGAACTCCGGTCAATTATAATCGCAGCTGACGGCACACGCAACTTAAGCCTCGTGTCCGTGTAAATCAAAATGGCCGTTCATGGAAATGTGCTATCCGTGAATGGGAAGCCAAGGGACACTCGGCCTTGATGCCTGCCGCGCCTCATAATGAACCAATGAATGAAGCATGGAGCGTGAGAAAACACGGACTACGGAAGACGAAAACGAAGAATGAGCAAATGCCAGTCTCTTTCCCCTCCCCCTTCCCCCTGCCCGATGAATGGGAGTTTATCTCGCGCCGTTCACTCTCGCTTTCCCGCGCAAACAAGAGTTGCGCTTCGAGACCTCACCACGCGGACAATGCGACTCGGCCCATCGTGTTGGCAATACAAGATACTGATTCTTGCTATAAATATGTTCCGTTTCGATTATTACGTAATCACGGGGCTCCGTCAGATCCGTGTCAGGCGTTGGGTCCGGTTTAATCATTACTGAAGAACACGCTTATGTGTGAAGTTACTCAACACCCACGAGCGTGTGTAGCTAGCGCGTGATAACTTCCTACAGTGTATTCTTTCAGAATGTGTCATTCCCACAAAGGCATTCTTGAAATCTGGGACATTTTAAGGAAACTGGTAAAAATCAGGAAACTGAATCAGAGCTATAAACAGCACTATTGATATCCGGGTGACGTAATATACCCATTATCACATGACTTGGGGAACATTAGTCCTGCACCATATATTTATATATATATATTTATTTTATGAAAAAACAATCTAGAAACGGATACAAACGCATGTCTGGCCAGCTCTACCTAGCTCTATTCCTACTGACATTTTTAAAAATTATTTTTAAAGTCAAGAACGATATCGTGTAATATAAGATTTCAAAGACTAAATGTTAGTCTAGGGGAACATGGCCGTCTTAACATAACCTACAACTTAATATAAGCCTTTTAGCTGTTTAAGAATGACCCTACTGTTGTGTAACTATCTGTTCTACTACCCACGTCGTATGTTTAATAATTATGATAATTATACCATTATCTTGCAAATAGACAATGATGTACATTGCACATAACTTTAAACAGTTGTATAATCATACTGTATGAAATGGTTTTGTTGCTTTATTTTTACTTTTAAACATGTTATCATGTTTGTTTGTTGTTTAACGCCGCACTCAGCAATATTCCATCTATATAACGGCGGTATGTAAATAATCGAATCTGGACCAGACAATCTAGTGATTGACATCATGAACATCGATCCACGCAATTTGTGTACGGTGACATGCATCAACCAAGTCAGCGAGCCTGGCCGCCCGATCCCCTTAGTCGCCTCTCACGACAAGCATCCCACTTGTTCTTTATCATCATCTTCTTCATCTAATATGCTTGTATAACACACTACGCTTACATGTTCGCCATGGGGTGGTCCATGTCTGGCCGTTTTCTTCTTACTTCCTGAAATTATATAATGTTTTATCTGCAGGGACAACTGAGGTTACAAAGCCCGGGGTATTCCCAGAATATTTAAAACTCGTGTGAACATTGGCACTGTGTGGGCCGAACGAACCGACCTTCCCACAGGAATAACACCGTTGTAGCATGTACCATAGGTACTGGTATGAAGCAACCGGCCTTCTACAGGAATAAAGCATGCACCATAGTACCATGTACCATGTATTTGTATATATGTACCGGTATGATATCCGAGTTCACGAGGGACGGGGCATGTCCCAGCAATCCCCGCAACTTTCTGTGCGGGTTCAGACAGCAGAAACTTAGAAGAAGCATTTAACTAGTCTCGGAAGTGAAAATACACCACACGATAGCAAGGAGTCCCGAGACTCAGAACTGAAACTGAACGAATTTAAATGTTCACTTTATTATCCCTCGCTACGACCCTGGGCAGGCGATATAGGAACGGAGTGTGTCCGTCTGTCTGCTTCTCAATGTGGACAAATTTTCTCAAAAACTATTCAAGTTTGAGTAATGAAATTTTACACACTGGTGTTACTTGTCACGATCTCAAATGAGTTTGAGTTTTTTCCCGAGCTAAATGTTTTCCAACTTAGTGCATACTGTGTGAAATTGTGAACAAGTTTTCCCAGCAACTACTAAAATTACATGAATGAAAAAGTTTGCATGCTTATATAAGATGTACTTGTCAAGAATGAGTTCGAAAATTGGTGCCGTACACTATTTTTTGCAGAGTTATTGCTCCGTGATTTTTAACTTAGTGCATAGAGTTTGCAATCGGGACAACGTTTTGCACAAACTACTGACGTTACGAGCATGATGAAATTTTGCAAGCTTATCTAAGAAATACTTGTCCAGTTCGAAAACTGGTCCTGTCAAGCATTGTTTGACAGCGTTATGGCCCTTGCTTCGTGTGTGGTTGTCCGTCTGTGTGTGTGTGTGTGTGTGTGTGTGTGTGTGTGAGAGAGAGAGAGAGAGAGAGAGAGAGAGTGAGTGAGTGAGTGAGAGAGTGTGAGTGAGCGAGTGAGTGAGCGAGTGAGTGAGTGAAATTGTGGGTGTCACTATGGATATAGAAGTACATTAGCTGTATCACGCCGTCTGCTCAGTGTGTAGTTCGGGCCGAGTTGAGAAAAAACAGACGCCTATAGTATGGTACACAACCAGCCCTCTACAGGTACTCCCCACCCAGTGATTTCAATCCACCCTCAACATTCTAGACCGGGGTTCGAGTCCCCCGTCTGTGCAATCTGTAGAGCCAATATTTGCTGTTACCCGACGCGATGTGGTTTGCGTGATGCGAAAAGCAGAGAAATGCTCATTCTTCACTCAGCGTTCTAAATATCGCCCTTTGATCCAAGGATGGAGAGACAGGGATACGTATTCTAACCATGCTCTTAAACAG